CCGAGGTGTCGAATGAGAAAGCGCAGTGCGGGTAAGAAGATCTTTCCTGGGTCCGTTGGCCATGATCCACTCTGACTCCTTATCACGGTCAATGTACATCTCCGTACCTGTTACACCCAATATGCGCCGCTCCATGAGATCTCCAAGAAGGTCTATTCCCCTGTCGAGCGACAATGCGAGGCAATCGTAGTATTGGCACTCTTCAAAAGGAGTTCCCTGACGATTCCTAGCTCCAACTGCTCTTGGAGATCCCAATGCCGAGACCCACCTCTCTCAGCCTTGTCAAGCGACTGTTGTGCACAGACTGCACATTGGAGATCCATACTCTCTTGGTGCATATCTTTGTAGGTGTAGTCTGTCGCGGACCTGCCGGCAATGGCTCGCGTGATGTCCGCATACGCCTAGACATCAACACCGTTGTATCGCTTGTTATTTTCCAGTGGTGTTCACGTCGCGTCCACTGTCCACTCTTGGTCTCGATAGTCGGTACGGCACCAAATTTGAGGGTGGAACAAGATCCACTAGGCTTGGTAAAGGCGAGCACAGCGGGCAAAGTCGTCAAGGAGAGTTGTGTCGCGATAATTTCTCGGAAATCTTGAGGGTGGTCGACGAGAGACGGTGGTCCCGCCATATTTAGTGCGCCTGTGCGCCTAAAAAAAAGAGCGGTGAAGTACGAAAGAAAGGAAGAAAGGTTTATTGGAAAATGCAAAATATAAATGAAATTGAAAATATATTATTGGTGGGCTCGCCGTCTGCCTGGAGGTTCTCGCGGTGAAGAACCCGCATCCCAGGGCACACAGCGAGGACGTTGCGGATCCTTGGTGCCCCCAAAAAAAGTTGCTCTCACGTATACCATAAAAAGCCACCCCTCATTGGTCCCCTCTTCTCATTTTATCTCTCTCATGTGCCTTCACGGTTCTTCACGTCTGGCACCAGCAAAGATCTACAATAGTATTGCATTCATCTAGCCTCCGTCTTGTTATGTCTTCCTGAGTCTGGGTGCCAGCTTGGCTTTCTTCCCTTTGATTTGTTTTTCTGTGATGGGCAGGAACATGCATGAGAATGCGTTATTCGCCCTCTCCGCCTTTTTTTTTCTTTCGCTAACGAGCGTACTGTTTGTTTACCAAATATGTAGGCGTCGTGGGTTCGCAGCCATCATCGCTGTTGCAGGAAGGCTTACGAGGACTCATCATCTCGCCCGTCACCACATTCTTCCTAAAGATCGGATATTGCTGGGCAGTCCGAACCATGGCGATCGTCCGCGTCGTCATCCTCATCCCTGCATCAGCACTATTCAAGGCCGGTGTCGAGCCTGGAAAGGATCGCGCGAAACGACTAAAGTAGGAACAATCGGCTGCGACCAGCGAGAAGGAACTTCAGGAGTTGAAGGATGCGGCGGTGAGGGTTCCGAAACCGAAGCGACAGGTCATGGATTTCACAGTGCTAAAGGAAGTTCGGCTATTGATCCTTGTTGTCCTTTCTTTCTTTGTTTTGCTAATGGATACTTTAATCCCTACTACTTCCTCCCAAGGTAACATCGACACTGTCTCATGCTCTTTTTTTCTTGTCGCGGCGGGCATTCTTTTGTGTGACCCTAGTTACTGGTTTTCCTAATGGATACTTTTCATATATTTTTTTTCGCTCTAGCCTATGCACAAAAGAACGGAGTGTCAGTGTCGACAGCCTCACTGCTGATCGGTATTCTGAACGGACCGAGTGCACTCGGACGAGTGTCGGGTCTGGCGAGCGACGACATCGGTGATATCAACACGCTCCTCATCTCGACCAATTGCGTTTCGCTGAGTATCCTGATCGTATGGATATTTACCGGCACATCCGTCCCCATGATGACTACCTCCTGTATCCTCTACGGTTTCTTCTCTGACTCCTTTGTTCGCCATCGTCTCCACCGTCGCCGCTCATCTCTATGGTACGTAATCTAACTCGATACATTTGTGATGCACTAGTCTCTTGATATTTGGCTACCACGCTACTCACTCTCGACAGGGTATTTTTTTTCAGTATTTATTGCTCGGCGAGTATGATGCGAATCGTGTATGGAGGCATTGCAGTCGGAACGTTGATCGGCTCACCTGTCGGGGGGCGCATTATTGGATATCAGTCAAGGGATCAACCGCCGTCTACTGCAGCTCTGGGTTGGCTTTGTCATGGCTGTCAGCGTCGTTTCGACCGTCGTCCTCAAGTTCGTGAAGAACTCCAAGCCATAAATGAAGGTGTAGAAAGGTGTGAGTACCCAAATTTAAACACAGGGATTAGAGAAGCATATACATCTGCACACCACACTAAATATTTCTAATTAATACAGCCCCATAATTCAAAAGAAAGCAGAATAGACGCGTAGTATATGTACAGTGCTTGTGGCATGTGCAAAAAAGGGGTAGGGGGGAGATGATGAGCTTTAATTATTTATATAGTCGGCGTTACGCGTTCTCTCCTTTCGAATCGAGCAGGTCCTGTAGTTTACGCAACATCTGCTGTTGCTCCATCATTACACGCCCAATATCCTGGTTCTGTGCCTGTATATACGTAATCTGCTGCCTCAAACCCAGTCCATCCATACCACCACCTCCTCCTCCACCAGCACCACTGCTAACGACCGCGACATTCGTTCCGTCACCCTGAGGACCATTACGCCGCTGTGAGTATGCCTCACACTCCTGGCCGATTGCAGTCGGGTTCATAGGTTGGTATTGGAGGTCGTGAGGCTTCTTTGTTGCTGTCGGCGTGTATTCTTGAGGGTTCCGAGGTCCGAAGAAGTCGGAATTGCGACGGTTGTTGTCCTTGTCGATATTGGAGCCGTAGGCAAACGGTTCATTGTCCTCAATACCGCCATTGTCGGCATAGACGTTTTGCCCTTGTGGGCTGCGGAGGAGTAGGAATCCATTTGGCCGGGGTGGTTGTCAGAGGATACGAGAGGTTCGGTCCGGACGATGGGTTCCATGCCATTGTACTCGAGTTGGATGCTTACAGGATATGGTTGCAGCGGAGGTGGAGATGAAACGGACCAAGGTTGGTTGGGCGGATAAGGTGGAAACTCAATGTCGCGTCGGGTAGCAGAAGGAGGAGTAGGAGGGGCAGGAGGAGCAGAACCGTCTAATGGCGTCGCGGAGGAATCCGGTGCATGTCCACTCTTGGAGTTGACCTGCTTGCGTCTCCGGTAAAAGAGGAACACCAAAAGCCTCAAGATGACTGCATCGCCCGCTACTCCTTTGCCTATCGCCGCTGCGTTGGAACCTGAAGAAGGAGAGGTGTTCGGTGTTGGGTTTGTGGGTCCTGGAATTGGACCAGACGTTGTCGATGATCTTGGTGTTGGCGGCCCGTCAGTTGGTAAGATGGGCGAGAACCGGTTGACCCACTTGTCTTCCCTAATGTTGTAGATCAATGGTACGCTACTCAGCAGCACAGTAAGGTCCCTGTTGCCTACTTTGCACATATACGGAACACAAAAAAACGCTAGTCAGCAAAAACACAGGAACAAACGAAAGAGAGAACGAGAAAGTGACGGAGAGTTTTCGTGTAGAATAGTGAAACTAAGTGTGAAGTGGTCAAGCATACCTCCCTAGACGATAAAGTAGTCGCCCCCGATGGTGCAGGCCATGTCGCAGCGTGTATCCTTTTCGGACGCAGATGTTCCTTGAGTCCAGGATGAAGATGTCAGGCCTTGAGTGCACGTCGACATCACATCCTCCAAAGACCACCATTTTGGCTCCATTGTACGCTATGCATGTATGTATTCGTTTTCGAAATCGTAAAAAAAGTTAGCGAAAGAAAGGGACAACAAGGCCAAGAAGGAGTAAGAATTGCAAAGAAGAAAAATGATTTCGCTCAGTGGTGGACCATCAGCTTTTTTTTTTTTTGGGCTCTTGGGCCGTGTTGTTCTACTTCTCTCTCTCTCTCTCTCTTTTCCAATGTACCCGGTATCATGCAGTGACCCCCTGGTGAACGGCCAGAAGTTGTCTGTGAAGAAAAAGAGGAAAGAAAAAGAGATACTGCGGAGTAAATAGACAATCAGCATCTATTTTTTCGTGTATCTATACAGAAAATCATGTAATTGAATGTAACAGCAGCAGCAGCAACACTAAAAAAAGAAAACAAGAAAAAAACAAGAAAGCGATTTCTTAGCACATTACTCCATTGACCATTATCGAACTGGCGAAGAACAGGGTTAAACTGATTATTATCAGAATGTCCACCATAGAGCAGCATCTCAGAACGTAGAGTTGACCAGACAAAAGTGTAATGAGAAAGACCGGCAATTTCGGCCAGCATAGTGGACATCGTGAAGGTGTAGAACGACGTTGCCGTGATCGGAGGAACCATCTCAATCGTGTGCATTCCCTCATTTCGTGCACTAAGGACAATGATCATTCTAGTAACTTGGTTCACTGCGCTCTGGAGCCCATTCATCCTGCGGTCTTTCGGGACAGGATAAGTTGGGGTCCATGAAGCGGTGTGTAAGTTGAGGGCTGAAAAAGAGCCTCCGTAAGATGAGTCCCACATGAAGACTTGTTGCTGATCCTTGGTGACCGACAAAGAATGCTAAGCAATAGTGGTGACGTTGCGCCTCACAGCTCTGGAGTCGCTCCAGGAGACAGTCAGATCCAGGGCGAACATCTGGTTGGTGAGAGCGTCTGGGGGTCCTGTACCCTGAGACGGAGCACGATAGGCGAAACCACCATGGATATAGAACATGCTCTCGTCAGCGGTCGCAAACCCATGCTGGAGGTTATGATAGGAGGAATTTGGGCCGAGATAATGGAGGGTAGGAATCCTGCGAGGACTGTAGTGGCGGTGAGTCAAAGGGTGTTGGAGCGTTGGGTTGTTGTATGGTTTGGAGGAAGGGGTTTGGCAGTGCTGCTGTTGCTGGTTGTGGAGGGAGTAGATCGAGGGTGGGGAAAACAGATCAGGAAAATATTCAACGGCGAAAGTAGTACACAAGGCGCTATGGGTGCTATGCTATCAACTATGCTTTCATCCTTCCATTCCTCGCATAGATAGTCAATCATGTTGCCATGCATTGCATTGTTTTGCCACGCTAATCATGGTGCACATTCGCAAGGAGATCATGTGATTACTACAGTTTCCTTTTCTGGGTCAACCAGTCTCGCACATGAATACAGCTTGTAACTTCTCCTCTTCGATAATCCACCGCCCGTCTTTATTTCTCACATCACTGAATCCACCAGCGCCAGGTCACTTCGGTGATCACCGCAACACATTCTTCTTCCTTCACCTTTGTTCACCAGCACAACTTCTGATTCCAACCAAGCTACTTACATTCACACACCCAACAGTCATCATCAGCAACAGCCATCAGTCAGACAAAAGTTACAATTATCTCAACTGATCACCTTGCATCCACAACAACCTAACAACCGCGGACCTACCACTGCACTAGACCCTTCACTATACCCTACTAAAAGTTAAATTCGTTTCTCAAACCAACCAAACAACGTACAGAAAAAAGTCCATACCAAGGCTGTCAAGGTAATATAGGCAACGAGAGTGTGTGTTGACGACAAGCTGCCTACAACGAAAACTGACGAATTCGTCCCTTCTATTGAACACGTCCATGTTCTGTCACTTTCTCTACCCATAGTCGAGTATTCGTTGCTCTGCCTCTCCCTCAACTGAAGCATCGACCAAGTACGGCCAAAAAAACAACGCAAAAAACACAAGCACAAAAGCACTAAATCCCTCCCGTACAGCGAGTAAGTGCGTAACATTGATCTCGCTGTTAGCGCTCTATTTCTCCGCGGACAAAATTACTTACCGTCGTCAATTGCATACATGCACATAGATTTCTTACAGAACTCCTCCCGTCCGTCAACCAAGAACTCCAAGCCTAGCAACCATTGCCACACCAATAAACCACTTTTATCAAGGTAAAGAACAGCTTATACAGTGAAATGGCTTGTTCATGTAAATGGAGACCAAACACTAACGCATTCCGTTGCCATAGGTGATACAAACCCATCCACAGCACACCCACCATGTCCAAGAACTCGCGCTCGACCCCTTCCGGTCCACCATCCCAAACTGCCTCACCAATCCATCCCAACACTGGGCACAATGACAACAACAATTCTGTCTCCTCACAGCGAATCCGCAAGCAGGACAAGATCTTTGCGTTCTTCAGATCGTCCAGTCAAGAGCACAAGGCCAAGAATACCGGTTCTACAAGTCCCAAGTCTATCAAAGGAGCCTCGGCTACCAGTGCCGAAATGTCTGTTCATCACTTTTCCACTGTCAGCACCCCTGAGAGTGTTGACATTGAACAAGCGGTCTCCACCACCGCCGTCAAGAGTACTCCCTCCATTGTTCACCCCTCTACTTTGCTGACCAAACCTCGCCTGGACGTCTTCTCACAGAACGTCAATGCGCCTGCTGTGCGCATCCCTTTGCCCGCATTTGGCGCTCGCATCGATACCACCCCTCAGCTTGCCCTGTGCATAGGCTTGCTTTCTAAAGTTCACGACGCCGTCGGCCAGCGAAAGGATCCTTCTCAAGACTTGCCATCCGACACTGCTGCTCGCCTGGCCTGGGTCAAGGCTATGAAGCAGGATCCTACTGAGCGAGAACGCCTCTTTTGGTTAGGAACTCGTATGGTTGACGAGTTTGCCAAGGATGCCTTCAAGGATTCGACCGAGATTGCCGAGATGGTCCTCATTGGACCTGTTATGAACATGGAACATTACCGTGGGTTACTCTCCAGCATCATCGCAGCGTTTGACCATTCTGTGATTCTGAGTGTCGATCTCCTCCAAGGTCTCGTGCAGTTGGTGCAGTCTGCACCCCCTGAATCCCTCCTCTCTGATGACCTGGTCAAGATTCTTCGTCTACTCCGGCTTCGTCTGCAGGACACTCACCAACAGTCGACAGTCCACCCTTTCCATCTCACGTTGGCACTCTCGAGGGTACTTGATGTTATGGCGGACCACAAGGTCAAGGACCTGAGCCGTGTGGAGGAGCGCGAGCCCTTGTCCGGAGTCCTGTCGAGCTTGACAGGTAGCTCGGACCCCTACCTGATGTACCAGGCTTGCTATGCGTTTCAGGCACTGCAGTATGTGCCTGATGATGAGACTGTGCTCCAGGCGGTTCTCCGACAGTCTATTGGGGTTGCAAGTGGGTTGGTCAAGATTTCGGCAGTGATGAAGCTGGACGTGGGCGCAGTTCTTGAAGGACTTGACAAGCTACAGGAGGCGATTGGCAGCACGGTCGAAATTGCAGGTACTTTGTACGAAGGGTTTTGCTCGCTGATGGAGAGTGGCCGAGGTGTGTTTGACAGTCTGAAGGAGGGATACGGATCTGGCAAGAAACGTCCTTGGTATGCCGCTGTCCGTGCTGCTCATGCTCTTGCTCACTCTGGTCAGTTACATGATCTCAACCGCCTGATCTGTATGGCACCTTGTCGCCGTGATCCTCTGTTCCAATGGGGAATCTGCCAGTTGCTAGGCGAGATTGCGTCTGATGATATCTGGGATTCCCCTGTTCGCCAGCAAGCCGTTGAGCTGCTTGGTGATCTGTTCCAGAACGATCCATTGTGGGGTGAGGATGAGAGCGTCAGGACCTGGATGTTGAACATCAGTGGCCAACTCGGTGCTGTTGATGACGCAGCTGTCAGCAGCAGCGCTATTGCCTTGGTGAAGGAACTTCAGCAGGATCAGCCTGCCACCACGAAGCTTCCTTACCCGCTGAGGAACCGACTTCCTTTGCCCACGTCCTCACCAACACTCGTCAAGGTTCAGAAGATCCCACCACTCGAGTACGATTTGCACCGGCTCCGCATGTTGAGGTTGAAGCAGAGCCACCAAGACGTCTACATCCCGCCTATGGCCAAGCCTAGTCTAAAGGCCAAAGATGAGGATATATTCTTGCTGATGGAGAAGATGCAAGAGTTCTTGGCTGGTGAGCGACAAGTGATGCTGGTGCTCGGTGACTCTGGTGCCGGAAAGTCGACTTTCAACCGCCATTTCGAGCATCGTCTCTGGACCGACTACAAACCAGGCGACCCTATCCCTCTCTTCATCAATCTCCCCTCCATTGACCGACCCGACCAGGACCTGGTCACCAAGCAACTGAGGTTCCATGGCTTTTCGGACGATCAGATCATGGAGATCAAGCAGCACCGCCAACTCATTCTCATCTGTGACGGATACGACGAGAGCCAGCAGTTGGTCAACCTCCACCGGACCAATTCTCTGAATCAGCCTGGCCAGTGGAATACCAAGATGGTCATCAGCTGCCGCACCCAGTTCCTTGGGCCTGAGTACCACAGCCGCTTTATGCCGCAAAGTGAAGGTGGTCACTACGACCGCCCTGCTCCTCACCTTTTCCAAGAGGCTGTGATCACTCCGTTCTCCAAGGCTCAAATCGAGAACTATGTTGAGCAGTATGTCCCCTTGGAGCCAAGGACGTGGGACACAAAGGACT